TTCTACTCCAGAATTTTGTCTCAGCAAGCAAGAAGCTAGGTGGGGGATGTTTACGAATCTTATTTCTTTGATTTTTGTTGGTTTGCATTTCCCACAGCAAACAGTAATAGCAGCAGAACTTTATTTTTCAAGTGTCTAATGGAGGAGAACTACTAGTCTAGCTTTCTTGTCCTAACAAAGCAGAGTTCAATAGGTAAATAACTGGCATAAATACATACAAGAAACAGATTTTTAGACTTTTCAGGATTAATTACTATAAAGTGTTGGAACACTAGTAAATAATTTAAGAGCCTATATGTTTAGACCGTGCATCCTTATGTACTGAAATTTAAATCAAGTGTAATAGTGCATCTCATCCTCTCTTCTCCAGTCCTATAAAACCCACGCACAGCCCTGTCTTAGAGGCAAGATAGAGGCTTTGGGTATCCTTCAGCCTCTAAGGAACACAGGATATATGCAGTTTCCTTGTTGGCAATAATTTTTAGAAGAAATGTGTGATAGCCATGTATGCACAATAATTATGGAGTGACCAGTCTATCACTCCTTCCTGACGTCTGCCACTCACTGGGACAATAAGAAGTGAGATTTTTTCCTTGAAAACAACTTTAATTTTCACTTCAGGGCAAGGAGAGACAGATACGATCTGACAAATTGTGATTATTTCAATCTACAGAGTTTAGCTTGACCAAGAACACCAAAACAGACTTAAATCACCTTAGACAAGTAAAAGTCTACCATAAAACTTCAGATCCAGATTTAGAGATCCTGCTCACTAAGAATACTATGAGGTACCACACCGGTACTCCAAACTGCATACGACTTCTGAGCTGAAGTAACTTACTGCTATGCTGATTTAACTGGAAAATCTGAGAAGCCAAACTCATGCACATTGTCAGCTTCTTCCACTTCTCCCTCTTCGCTTCAGTCAACTTTATATACAAACTAAATGTAACCAACAAAATTTTAAGTATTTCTTCTCTACTTTAGTATCTCTTACTTTTGCTACCTCCTACTCAAGAGTTTACCCCAAAACCACAGTGCTTTCCAAGTCCCTCTCCATGGACAATCTTACAGAGTCTCAGAAGACAGAACAGTAATTCATCACTTAGGCTCACTACTCTTGAACATAAATCTCCTGCAGGTAGCCAGGAAGCTTATTTTCCCAAGCACCTACTGGTATCACACCACAAACAGCCTTAAGACCACAATATCTAATATATACAACCAAGGAGGGAAATAGACATTTTGTAGTCAACAGAAGACATAACTTGAAGTGGTTAAGAAAAACAGTGAAATATAAACATTTTTCTCCTGCTGCTGAGCAAAATGCTGTAAATTGCTGAGATTTTGCACAGACTCTTTGTTAACAATGTTCATGTTGCTGTTGCAAGAGGAGGGTGGAAATCAGCTGCCATGGATGAACTATTTAATGGTACAAACTCAAGCCTGTCATGCTTGAAAACACTGTGAGCTATACAGTACCACTATGTATAGACAGCTTTATTCATCCCCAGAGCTTATTGCCCCCACCCCCAGCTCTCTTTCAGGTTCATGGCTCAGAATGCTAATTGCCCAGCTTTTGTTTAGGGCTGGCTGACTCAATGTCAGGCCAATTCTATTGCCTACTTGACAAATGAGCTCTTTAGCCTCCCTGCAAAGGCCATAAGGAAGACCACAAGACTGGATATTGTGCTTTCTTCTTCTCAAGAAAGTTTAAAGGGGAGAATTCAAGCCAACTTAGCAAAAAAGGAGAAACTAGGCACCAAATCCACAAATCTGTCCCAAACTGGTTTTAACCAGCAGCCAATAGGACTCCTGTGAAGCCTGGATTATTTTTTTACATCCTGCAGTTTTAATGTGGCTGGAACACTATCTTTTCACATTGAAAAGATTCTGTGAAGCAACAAAAGGATATACAAGTTGATGGCCAGGCTATAAAACCACACAGCTTAATATAAAGCCACACAATTCAAAACAGAAGTTAATAAAAATTCTGCCCATCACCAAATGAAGTTTACAGTAGGAGTCCTGAAGACCCACTCCTCTAAAAACCCCTTACAAATGTACACATTACACAACAGCAGTGTCAAGTTCAAGTTTGATAAAGTCAAGTTAATCGGGACAGCAGCAAGTCTTCACAGAATGGCTGAGGTCACCTGGCCACCTAGCTCTGGCTGCATAGAACCATGTCCTGATTGCTTTGGAAAAATCTCCACAGACAGAGACTTTATTCAAATCACCTCTGGCCAACTGTGCCAGTACTTGGTCATCCTCACATTATAAAAAAAAGGTGTTTCCCTGATTTTCAAGGGAAACACCACCTGTGTTTCATTTTGTGCCCACTGCCTTTGTTACTGGGCACCACTGAAAACAGCCTGGCTCCATTGTCTTTGCATTATTCCTTCAGGTACTTCCATATATTAAGATTCCCTGAGCCTACTCTTCTCTGGACTAAACAGTCTTAGCTCTCTCAGCCTTTCCTTGTAGGAGAGAAGCTCCAGTACCTTAATGATCTATTCAGTTCTTTGCTGAATTCTCCAGTATGTCAGCATCCCTCTTGGACTGGGGAGCCCAGAACCGGGCTAGGTGTGGCCTCACCAGTGCTCAACAGAGGGGAAGAATTCCCTTCCTCAACTTGTTGGCAACACTCCTAGTACAGCCAAGGACACATTCACCTTCTTTGTCACAAGGACACAGTGCTGGCTCATGGTATGACTTTATGTACACCAGGACCCCCAGGTCCTTCTCTGATAAGTTTCTTTGTTGTCATACAGTGTACCATTACAACAGCCCATAATGCCTAAGGGATATCCATCCTAGCCTTAGGCAAGCAGCAGCCTAGCTAGAGAAGTGCTTTTCACTTATATTAGATCTCTCAAGCTCTGGGCTTCACCTCCTTGGCTTTCATCTTCAACTTCTCATCAGCTGTAAGAACAACTCTGTCTGGGATCTAACTGATCTGTCCCCCACTAAATAACACAGGCCTATAGAACTTGATCCTGCTGACAGCACTTTTGGCCACTGCCTGTCCTCTAAAGAGTTAAGTGAAATAAAGGACTCAAATTAGTTTGACACAAGTAATTTTTTTCATAGGTCTTCTACAAAACTCAAACTTGTCTGTGCTCAAGAGCTCTGCAGTTCAGCCATAGCTATACAGCATCTTGATTGTTACAACCGTGAACTAAAACACTCCATACTGAGCACTGCAGAATAAAACAGTTCAAAAAACTTGGGAAACATGACCATTTTTCAAGCAATAAACAGTATTTTATTTTACTCATTAATTTTAAAAAAAATTCTAAAAAACTTACTGTGTGGAGCCTGAGTTAATGTATATTAACCTGTGGTGGCTTTTTTTTTGCTTGTCTTAAAACAACATGGCATTTTCTCCCAGTTTCAGAATCTGATTAAAAATGGTTTAAGATGACTTGATAACAGATGTCCAAATCTTAAGTAAAAATAAGAGCTTTGATTTCTGGCTACTAGCAATTATGAATTGAATGCATTTTCCCTAGGAAAGGGTACATGCTTTCCCATACAGAAAATACATAAACCCTAACAAACCAGGATTCCACCAGAACACCTTCTAGCTGTTAAGACTGGAGTACTTCAGACTTCAAACACTGTGTTTTCCCTTTACCTGCTCATTCACAATTAGGAGGAATCATTTGTGTTATCTACTCTAATGATACAAAAATTTTCAAATGTCTTCTACAAAGCCAGTCCCAAAAATGCAGTTCTCTCAGGCTAAGACACAGCTACAAGCTCTGAGAGCATGCTCATACGACCTATTAAATAAAACATGTTTTCTTCATCTTTGCTGAATAAAAAGTCACAACACCTCTTTCTAAGCCTATCTGAGCTATCCAACATCAGTACCATATGGCATGTAAATACACATATACATCTATATAGGTGTACACAGTGTGTGGTAATTAACATCCCATTACTGTTTGTTAAGATCTACATCCAAGGCACACACACAGAGCAATTATAATGTAAGTCAAGAACTCAAAATTTGCCCTGAATTTTTTAGAGGCACAACTCCAGAGCTTCCAAATGTATTATTGTTCCGCTGCAAGCACCAGTTATTATACCTTAAGAGAAGATCAATTTATAACTTACTCAGTGTTTTCCATTAAAAGAAGAAAAAACAATTATGTAACTGAACAACACAGCACCATTGTTACCAGCCAAGTTTTATTATTTTCAATCTGCTAAACAAAAAAGAAAAGGAAATACTGGCTTTAATTTCAGCTGTTGTCTCCTAGCAAGCCAAACTCTTCATCTAGTAAACCAAGACATACTGACTTGTTTGTAAATTATGCCTTGACATTTTATCTTCCTCCCAATTTTGTAGCAAGCAAACTATAAATTAGGCTCCAGTTCAGAAATGTTTTCTCTTTCCCTGCCCGCTCACCCCACATACACATACTTTCCATTTCAAAGCTGATTTTAGAGTCTTGCAACAAAGGGTGTTCTAGTGGCCAGTTTCATTTGCACAGGAAAAAACAACAGTTATTCTGCCTCAGGCTTGCATTGGTTTTCAGGGTTCATTTTGATTTTCAGTTTTTCGGATTTGTTTTTTTAAGAGCAACAGCAATTAACATGCTATGTTAAGGCAAAGCCTAGTTGGGTGTTTTTCAGGAAGCTGCCTTCCAGGGCATGTAGGCTCCCCCTCTGTTCCTGGGGACACACTGCCCATAGTGCCCCAGCAGGGTGTTCTGCTATCTGAGTTGCAGACTGAGGGTCAAAGAATTGAAATGGTTATTTTATGGGCAAGTGTCAGCTACCATTTCTTGCCCAGGTATTCTTGGGAAAGATTCCAACGATGTTCCTCTAAATGACCCAAGCTAAGGTTTTCTTTGACAGAGAGGCCTGATTTTATTTTAGTAGAAACTGTGTGTGAACACAAAATATACAGCATATTACTGTTTCAACATTTTACCAGAAAAAGAGATAAAGAGGAAAAACAAAGTTTGGTGCTATATTCAACTTACCTTTTCATTCCATGCCCACAATCCAATCCCAAGAAATGCTATGCCAAGGAACTAAAGGAAAATGGGAAAAAAAAGAGCAAGAATTAGAAATGTGCGGTGTTTTTTGTCTGTTTTTTAAAGCTACATATTGACTCATCCTCTCTGTTGGATAATAATTTTATCAGGACTGAGGGGCGCTCAGTGAGAGTTATACAGTATATATCTGGTTTATTTTACAATTCAACTACTTTAAGTTGAAGAATTTACAACTTGCACAATTCAGGGCTGTCCCACACAGCAACAGTAAGTGCAATAGGTGCCACCTTATCAGTACCGAGCAAGCAAGGTTCTTTTTGAGTTTGTAGGACTCAAAGCAAACTCCACAGTCAACATTTTTGTTTGCTGTTTTACTATTGCATCACCACTGCCTGCACAAAGCAATTGCCCTCCCAGTGCTCCCCCAGTGAGAAAATGATTTTAAAAAATCCTAAATACACAATTATTATCAGTTTTAGCAATGTTATCCACATAAAATAACCCATAATTTCTGAGAGGAAAAAATAACAAAAATAATACTGGTCTGAAGACTATGAATTTTTAAAAGCCCTGCAGTTAACATTTGATAAATTTTCTGATACTGATTGTTTCATAAGGGAAGTTCTATTCCCTTTCTCCTCCAAGGGACTCAACAGCACCAAACACAAGAGACAGGCTCCCCATGATGAAAAGGGAGCACCATTTTTGCTTTTGTTATATCCCTGTGCTCTCCATTCTACTTAATAATTTAAAATGCATCATTTCCCTCCAAATCTATAGGGATTCCATACAAAAGTTACACTAATGATCAGTGCAACAAGCAAAACAGGCAGAATAAGCACTCCATATCCCAGCATCATTAGTGCGTATTTGGCATGATACAGTATCAATCAGATAAAATGTTTAAAAAACATTTAGTAGATGTATGAGCACATCTCTACATGTCCATCTGTCCAACTTGCATATCTGATTTTAAAAGTGCCAAATAAAAGGAAAATTATTTTCACTGTAGTTAGTTTCAGGGCACGTAACAGAACGCTGCCCAAACATAAAACTGGTTTTCTTCGTCATTTCTCCACACTGCAGTGTACAGACTTATTTTGGCACATAAATACCCTTTCTCCTAAGATCTGTGCAAACAGTGAAGAATTCTAATGATTTCTCTTTTGCAAACAGAACCAAAGTGTTCTTCTGTTGAAAAGTGGGAGGAGGCAGGAATATAAACTTTAAAACCTTTCCCAGAAGTTATTTCAACACTGTTAAATAAAGCACTTCTCCTTCCTTACACGCACTTTCTTTGAAGGGGCAATTTTAGCTTTGTATTACAAGGGTATCTGCAAAGCATTACCCATTATCAAGCAGAATATGCTTGCTACAATAACCTGAAGTTCCCAAACACTCCTTGCATTTCTGTAACTTTCTCCTCCAAGTGTGCTGCGCCAACTGCCAAAGAACCATGCATACTGGGAATGAAACTTTTCCTTTTTGACTTGAAGAGTCATGACTGTAAATTTAAACAATACTAGAAGACACCATTCTTCAAAGGAAACTGTTGCAAGCTTGGCTGTATTTTAACAGAAGATATATTGAAATTTTTCTTAGATGGAAAGCATGACTGCCAGTCAAGAAAGTCTTATCTCAACAGTCTTAATTATTTATAAAGTACAAGACATGGATTTGAGAAAGTCAGTACAGCTTCTTGTGATACATCACAAAAAAGCCAAAAAAGGTCACCTTACCTGTATCGAGACTGACTGCTTTTTTTGTAGTTATAAAGCCTGCCAAAAGATTGAGTGTACTCTTCCTGACACCAGTGATTATTTGAAACTTGAGATAAAGTTGTTCAAGTTTCCAAATCTCTCTCAGACACACGGAGCTCTTTTTTTGCAGTAACAGGCTCCTTTCCTTCTTTCTTACACAGCCAAAGGCACTACAGTTGAAAGAACAGGAGTGTGGGGGGGAAGCTATATATTATAAAAATTCATAAGTTACATTTGGAAGTGGAAATTGCTATTCATAAAGGAGCACAAAACATTATGTTTTGTGAACAGATTAATATGGTTTTGAACAGAACAAGCATGGAAAACTAGAATGGAACTATTTGATCAGTGCTTTATGAATGTAACTTTGCATTCATACATATCAGCTGCAGGTGTAGCCCGGCTTTACTGACTTTATATGAATTTAATCCAGTCAAATGTCCTGATCCTTCACCAGAACTTGAGACTTAAGCATAAAATTACCTCATAACTTGCAAAAGGTGACTTAGAGTAAACTACACAGGTCTCAAGCCAGGCCGAGCTCATCCCCATTTACAGGCTGGGTGATCTGCACTGTGCTAAACTGAAGCATCTCAGAAGTAAGGTTGTCTAGCTCATGTCAAGGAAAAAAAAGAAAACTCAGTTCTCAGAGTTTTCAAAAGGAAAAGGGAATTACATGCTGCTCAGTCCTCTCCATATCCTAAACCAGAAATGCTTTTTTGAGCAGATGAAGAAGAGCAGATGAGGAACAACGAGCAAGATCCATTAGGAGAAAAAAGATTTGGAATGGAATCATGAACTCTATCACATGGTGCTGTGGAAATCAAAAGCTTAATGGCATTCTGAAAAAAAAATTAGATAATTAACAGATGGCCCATAGCTATTAAAATGTGATTCTGATGCAGCTTCTGGCTCAGGAAGTTTACACTGACACTCATTGGGAGATTGAAATCAGAAGATTGCTTCATGCACGTTTTGTTGGTTAAATGCGTCTTGCCTTAGAGGAACTACTTGCTCTACTTGAGATAAAATACAGAGGTAGGCAGACCTAAACCCCTACAGTCTTTCCTAGGGCCCTAGGAAAGGCCCACCTTTGCACAAACACAGTCTGCTATGGGGATAAAGCACACAGGAACGCTCTCTGTAACCCCCACTGGCAGAAAACAGATGTTCATGAGGAGACTTGTACTTCTCATCAGGATTAACTTTGGATTTTCTTGACAATTATGAAAGAAACTCCTGCATAGCCTAAAATTATTTGGAAGCAATTCCAATGAGCAATAAAAAGGTGGAAGTTTACCTCATTATCAACAAAACACTTCACAGAGAAAAAGTTTCAATTCTCCACAGAAATCTAATAAGACCATCTGGCCTAACTATAAATAGTCACTGCTGCAGAGCATGTAAAATCTTTATTTCCTTTTTTATGCAATAATTTGCCGGAGAATATTAAAACAATTCTCTGGAGCATTAGCCTTACAAAAAAAAAACAAAAAAAACCAAACAAACTTGCACAGCAGTATTTTCCCAGCCATAAGTTTTCTATACACAAACCCAAAACCCAAAAGTTTTCACATTCCTCTTCTATAAAAATTAAATGTATTTAAAAGTAGAAAGTGTAGCAGTACTTATACTGTTACTCTGCTTGTGAAATTCACATGCTGTTTTCCAAAGTGAATTGACCAGTATTTCAAGCTGTACATATTTTATTCTCAGTCTTGCCTGCATGGAGGAAAATTATTCTTTTTTGGTAGGGATGCAGCAGCACACAGCATTGCATTGAAAGGCTATTGGGGCAAACACTAACAAAAAGACCAGAAAACCTTTGAGAGGCACTTAATCTTAGAGTGACCAGAGATTACTAAACATAGGGAATTGTTAATCTCAGTGGACATTCTTAAATAACTTGGCACCAGTTTTCAACCAAAGGACAACAGCAGCAGGCCAAGCAGTAGGAGGTTGGTTAATGTGCCACATGCATAAATCAGTGTACTTTCAAGTGTGGTTACATGAAATGCTTGTGAGAGGTCTTGTGCAGGCACCTAATTTCACCTTCCTTGTGACAACACAAACACAACAGCCAAAGCCTGGCAAAACTGTCAGAGTTCAGAACCAGAGCTTTCTGGCTAGAGCTCTTTTGGTTTGTTGGGGTGGGGGAGGCTGGGGTGAGTGTATTTAAGTCCTGTATTTTGGAAATGTGAAAAACTCCCCCCTGCCCTTCCCTTGAAGTGCCACAATAATTTTGTGCTTGGTGTTAGCATGGAGATTATCAGGATTCCTAGGGGCACTTCGGTGTTTCCTCCACACCAGTATGCTGTAGGTTATTCATGGAGCAAGATTTCCTGCTGTGATTCAAGCAGCACAGGAGAGAACACAAGGTACAGTATTTTACCAACAGCACAGTGGTGATCAGGACGACATGAAATACAGCATTTCACATCCTGAAATACAGTCAGGAAAACACATGGCTCCTGAGCTTGGCACATATATAAAGCAGCACTGACAAGTTCCTAACTGAACTCCAAAACCCAAAATGGACAATTTTTCCCAAAGAACTTCCTCTACAGCAGTCTGTGCTCAGACTCACTCAAAATTATTTTAGCTGCAATACTCACTGCTTTTTTAAAGTATTTTATGCTAAATAAGTTATTTTCCTTTTTAAACCAGGGCAAAAAATGAGCTTAATGTGTGTGCCAGTTTTTGTTTGTTTCAAAAAAATGACTTAGTTGTGGGTTTTGTCACTTGTTTGTTTTTAAGTAGCTCTGACAGAGAAAGAGTACCAAAGTAGAAATCAAAATGAAGTTTCACACAGTTGTCTTCTCTCCTTCATGCCACTGATGTGTATTCTGCTTAAAATATGTCACTTAGCACTCTCTCAAGCAGAACAGATAGGACATTCTCTCAACTCTATAGCTTTCATCTAGACCAGTATCACATGCAAGGGAAGTACCAGAAGTCTGCTCTTATTTCTCTTTCCATACGCCCCAGTTTCAATGATATTTCCATTCTCAACATAAATTGTTAAAGCATTTCATTTTCATTTGGCTGAAAAAGTGTGCTGATGAAAGGAGAGGCAAACTGCTCAAAGCACACCTATACATTTACACATCTATGCTAATGCTTACAAAGAGTGTTTTCTTCTAAAGCCCATTTCTTGTTTGCCTTGAGATCAGCAGCAAGAAAACTCCAGGTACTACAGCCAGTGAATGAAGGTGCAGATGTGATGAAGCCAATGATGAAGATGCTGCATAGGTGACAATTACCATTTTAGTTCAT